AATGGAGAGCTGGCTGCTGGGAGGGGGTGGGGCTGGGGGAGGGGAACAGGTATGCACGAGGTGGGGCGGGAGGCAGCTTTGGCCCAGATCTCACCCTCAGGAGCCTTCCCCAGGCTCGATTAGGAATGCTGGTGATCTCAGCTGGCTGCCCCGGAGAAGGAATTGGGTGGACTGAGTGGACAGGGCACTTCTGTCTGCAGCCTAGCATGAGAGGTGTGTGGACTTCACCAGGAGAGGGTATCGTGATAAGTAAGGGAGGGCAGGCTCTGCTAGAGGGCCCGGGCAGCTCTAGGTACAACACCAGGCACGCCGGAGGGTTTGTCTCTATTTCCGCAGCCAGGGAATTAGAGATGGGCTTTTCCTTCCCAGACGTACCCAGGCAGGGAATCTAGCATCTGCCTTCCAGCTTGGAACAGGGGCACTCACATTTAAACTGGGACACAAAGAGTGGAACAAGAGAACAACAAAAGTTGAGACACCTCAACTTTTCCTCATTATGTGGGACAATCTTCCTGCGTGGATCCAGATATTCTCCAGTCACGCACACTGAAAATTGTTGCACTTATGGGGTTGGGGGTAGGGATTTTTCAGAACTGATTGGGTTGTGGTTGGCTGTGGAACTGTATTGATCTGAGACCAGGAGCACCTGCAGCAGTGTTTCTCAAAGTGGGGGTGGGCCCAGTCTGAGACAGCTGCTACTGGCCTGCTCCGGTTTGTTTATCTGAAGCTTTTGTGCTCCCTGTGGGCACTGTAAGCCCACATGGGTAGACGGCTCATTGAGAAAACCTGGGGCTGAGGAAGCCATGTATAGCAGTACTTACAGTCCTGCAGATGTGTGTGATCAACATGAAAAATGCCTGTGAGACTCTGTCCCGGGCAGCCTCTAGCAGTGCCACGCCAGGCCCGCACTTGGAAGGGCCGATAATGACTACACGGAGAGCCACAAGTAGGTTTGGCACCAAGCCCACAAAATGTTAATCCGTCCGTTTTGCACCATTTGTCCGTGCACTGAATGAGGCGAGAGCCCCAGGAAAACGGGATCTGTGGCCCGTCTTGAAGGGTGGCGCTGGGATTGCTTAGCAGGTAAAGGCAGAGCAAGACGCAGGGGGTGGGCGTTAAAGCCAGAAAAGTCTAAATTGGAAATAAGGCACAAATACTTAACCACGAGGGCGACTACCTGCTGGAAGGAATGCGGAGAGGAAGTGGTGGGTGGTGGGTTCTCTTTCTTGGTGGTGTCTGGAAGCTGCTTCAGCCAAGCTCAAGTCATTGGGCCCAGACAGTGCAATGTGAAGGGCCTAGCTCTACAGGCAGTCAGATCTGTGAATCCAGCATGACGCAAGAGGCAGCGATAAGACAGGACAGGGAAGCGTTGTGGCAGCATTTTCTTGAAGATTCAGTGGTTCTGCTTCTGACCTTGACAGTGTTCTTAGCTTTTTCAATCTAGAGTTTATTGGTATTTCATATTTGTGTGCGGCATTGCAGGCGTGTTCTCCATGGGAGCGAAACGAAGGGCCTGCCCAGGGAGCTTACAGAGTGGAGACATCCTATTTTGACTAGTGTCTTTTGCAAGATTAGAAGGGACTGTTCCCCTTCTGGAAGGGGCTCTGTGGAGCCACTTCTTTCTTAGCCAGTGTGGGCCCCATCCTGCCACCCCTACCCACATGAGGCTGTACCACAGTCTCTTTCACTGGAGAACAGGACTACTCAGCAGTCCTCTGATGCGTATAGCCGTATAGTTTTTACTTTGTCTTCAATGATTAGTTTCTGTGATGTTGTTCTTAGCTGTTAGAGGGGTGGCTACGCCTTTCTGTCCCTCAGGTGAGTGGCTGCCCCTTTTCTTTCCTGCTTGGCCTCTTTCGGTGACTCCTTTGCCACCAGGCACCGAGTGTCTCGTAGGAAGGCTGAAACACCTCCTGGCTTCAGTAGGAACAAGGAGAATCTCAGTACTTGGAGTGGCTGCTGCTTGCTCAGTCTGTCCAAGCAGGATTTGGAGGGTCCCCCAGGAGTCATGCTGTTCACCACCAAGGACTGCCCCAGGGCCCTGGAGGCCACCTCTCCTGTTACTCTGCGATGGTTTGGTGTGTGGGCCAGCTCATGCTGTTGGAGTGTTTCCTTTGGTGTAATGGCAGCACTATGTAAATGAAGGTGAGACTAGCCCCATGTAGCATGTTATAACCTCCACTCTAGCTGCCACTCGGCTGAGCTCTACACAGTCAGCCCTTTCAGGAATGTCCTGTGAGTCACTCCTTCCCACCACCTGATCACTTCTGCTGCTCTTCTCTGAATTCCTGCCAGTAAAGAGGCCACCAAACCTGAAAATCAATAGCTAAGGTGATTAAGATGCACAGGGAGATTTAATTGAAGAGTTGAACAGATGCTGTGAGGAATTAGTCACACTATTCTTTTGCCCCTTTGCGACAGTGGTGTCTGCAGTTGTTCTTACGTGTTTCTTTCGGGTGATGCTGAGAGAGCCTTTGATCCAAGGCTGCCTGCAGAAAGCCGGAATCTCGGGCTAGTCCTGCAGTGTGGATTTGCATCCAAAGGGACTAACAGTCAGGCCACTTGGAACCCAACAATGAAATGTGGCGCATGGGACCGATCGCCCGGCACAGCTAACAAACCACCAGCACTGCAGCCATCTGGTACAGCCAGTGATTTGCACAAAGCCCGTTGGCCTAAGTGTTTACAGCAAAGATTTGTCAAGCGATTTTGAACAACAAGCAAATGCACAAGGTGGGATGTTAAGTAGTGATTAATTTGCTAGTCGTGTAGCTCCTGCTTATCCGGTACTTGACTACTCGCTCACATCCCTCTGCACAACACTTACCTTTGCCTGAAAAGCAATTTGCCAAGAACCTTTTGCCTCACTCTGGCTGCTGCTTCCTCCATCTTCTGTCCTTAGCAGACGAGAACTCTTGTAAAGCTGATTGCTAGCAGGCGTGCGGAGTGGACTTTACCACCTGAAAGTCCTGTTTGTCCTCAGGTTCTGGCAAACATGGAGGATCCTTTGATGATTCCGTTCCCTGAGCCAGAGCCTGCTCTGAGTCTCTTACTGCACCGCCCAGTTTCTCAATCTGGTTCTACTGAACCCTGCTCTGATCCTTAGTCTGCAACTGTAATCCCTAATCCCCTGGCCTCTGATGTGCCACTTCAGTTCCCAACCTTGCTGCTAGCCCTGCTTTCCAGAGCAGCAGCCCTCTGGCTCGGAGCCCCAGCAGCGGGGCAGGAGAGAAGGGAGGGGTTGGTGTGTGCCTGGCCAGGAGGAAAAGGGGTTGAACAGGCACTCCCTGTGCAACATCCCTTTCTGGATTGGAGAATGCCTCTTTCCTCAGGGCAGCCACAGGCAGGTGTGTGCTACCTTTCATCTCCCAGCTGGGGAGCTCTGGCTCTGACCTCTGGCCTCCGCTGGAGGCACACGCTGTAATCCTGCAGCCTGTTGTAATCATTCTGGCAGATACTTGCTTGCACATGCTCTCCCAAGGACGCGCCGATCAAAGCACCCCGGTGAGTAAGAACATCCCAGCTCTGCCCTTTGTTCTCCCTCCCTCCCCCCTGCGCCGGGGGAAGTTTGGTGTCGTAGTGTATGCAGGGTGCTTGCTACTGGACTGAAATAGGCTGTGGGGGGAGGGGGCCGGCCCGGTGCAGGCTGAATGTGCTGAACCTAGTGACCTGCTAGGCAAGGCTGATAGTTTCTTAATGAGGCTTCCATCCTTGAGACTTTTAGCACCCATCCACCCTTAGGCAAGGGATGGGTTACTCAGGATGGCCAGGGCTTTTCTGAACCTGCTCCTAAGTGACCAGAGGAGCTAGCACAGAGGTGGGCAATAATTTTTGATGAGGGGCCACTCCAAGATTTTGGAAAGTGGTCAAGGGCCACACTCCTCCATGCTATTAATGGAGATGCAGGGTCTGGAATGGAGGCTGGGTGCAGAAGGGAGCTTGGGGAAAGGAACTGGGGTGCAGGAAGGAGACTGGAGTTTGGGAGGCAGTTGGGATGAAGCAGGTGGCTGCCACCTAGGGCAGGGGACTGGAGTGCAGGGGTTTGGGATGTGACCCAGGGTAGGAGGGGATTGTGATCTGGGGCAGGGGATTGGGGTGCCAGATCTGGGCGGGGATATGGGTGTAAGAGGGGGACAGAGGGTTTGGGTATGTTGAGTGGGGGGAGGGGCAGAGAGCTGGGGCAGGAAAGGGCTGGGGTGCCAGAAGCAGGCTTTGGCCAAGAGACTTAATTGCCAGCTGCCAAACTAGCCTACCTGCCTGCAGAGTTTAAAATGTTCCCAGCCAGCCAGCCAGCCGGGCCATGTGCATCATGAATAACTGAGCCCAAGAGAGGGGACGTGATTCTTCTTAGCTGCCTGTTGTTCTAACAAGCAGCTCCCATTGGCTGGTTTCTGCCAGAAACCGGCCAATGGGAATGTGCTAGGGGCAGGGCGGCTCCTAAAACTTCCCCCCTCTCCTCCAGTTTTAAAACGGAAATGGAGGCCTGCAGCTGCGTTTCTGCAGGGGCACGGGGCTGTGGGCCAAGCTGGGGAGCCTGCTTGGGGCTCCCCGCTGCCTCCGCAGGCCGGATCTGGTGGCTTGGCCGGCCGCATTTTACCCAGGCCTGAGCTAGCAAATAGGAGGCTTTTGTGAGGGAGTGTAGAGGGGGAGTGCATGTGTGTGTGTGTGTGTGTGGGGCTAGATACCCTGAACATTCTTTACATTGAAAGCCAACCCCGCCCCCCCAAACCCTGGTAACAAAACAACAATAAAGGAACAAGTTTTGGGAGTACACAGAGGAGGCAGGCAGAAGCCCAGCAGCAGAGTTTATTGCACCCAGGGAAGTATGTATGATTCCCTGCCCTATGCAAGGAGCTCCTGGCCCTCAGAAACCGTGTACGGATTTTGGAGACTAGGGTGGCTCATCTGGAGGACCTAAAGGAGGCAGAGATATATAGAGATGAGATTTTCCTGGACACCATAGAATGGTCCCACCCCCGGTCAGACAGCCCCTGTGCAGTTGAGGATGAAAGTCTCAGGGAAGGAGAACATCCAACTGGAGCAGAGGGAAATGATCCCATAGTTGGGACCTTCTTCCAGAGGATGATATGGTATCCTCTCGCACTGAGGCTACCTCTCCGGGGAGGGAACTCCAGTTCTCAGAAAGAGACTGATGTTAGTAACATGGGATTCGATCATTAGAAACATAGACAGCTGGGTTTGTGATGACCCAGAGAACTGTATGGTGACTTGCCTGCGTGCTGCGAAGATTGTGGATCTCTTGAGTCACCTAGAGAGAATTCTGTGTAGTGCTGGGGAGGAGCCAGTGGTTGTGGTACATGTAGGTACCAATGCCATAGGAGGAGAGAGGTCCTGGAGGCCAAATTAAGGCTGCTAGGTGAGAGATTGAAATCCAGAACCTCAATGGCAGTGTTGTCTGAGATGCTTCCATTTCCATGTGCAGAGCCAGTAATAGACAGGCACAACTGCAGGGTCTCAATGCATGGATGAGAACAATGGCTTAGGAAGGAGGGGTTTAGATTTATTAAGAACTGGGGAAACTTTTGGGAAAGGGGGAGCCCATGCAGGATGGATGGGATCCACGTAAACCAAAATAGAACCCAATTGCTAGTACTTACAATGAAAAAGGCCATAGAGCAGTTTTTAAACTAGGGGCTGGGGGAAGGCTGACAGGTGTAGGAAAGCATGTGGTTTGGCCAGAGACAACACTTCAAAAAGGGTGTAGGGAGGAGAGGATGGAAGATGATAACATACAGGTAAGATCTGATCAGAAACAGTCAAATGAAAGAGTCCCATCCAATCCCATCACATAATGGTTGACAGCTAAAAGGTGACAGGTTTTTGAAGTGCTTGTGTACAAACACTAGAGGTTTAAATAATACGATGGGGGAACCAGGGTGCCTCGTATTGAAGGATATTGTTATAACAGGCATCGCAGAAACATGGTGGAATGAGGATAATCAATGGGACACAGTAACACCAGTGTCATGGGTGGCCCGCATAAGAGACAAGGGAAGGCAATGCCTTCCCAGGGTCTTAGTGCTCTACCTCTCCCTGCTTCCTATCCCTATTCTGACCCTTCCTGAAGGCTCCTACAGCAGGCTGCTACCCTGAGAGCCTGGTGAATCTTCCTGGAAGTGGATCTATTAACTTAAAAGTGAAAAGCCTACCAGCTTGCCAGACCTATTAGCATAACATTGAACTTGTGAAAGAGCCAGTAACTGGTAATGAAGCCATTTCCCAGGCATGTGCCAACCTGGAGATATATCCTGTGCCTTTTTGCATGTACTGACCCAAATAGTTGGGCAGAACTGTAATACATCTGCAGGACCTTAGTCTAAAATGTGCTTTAAATATTTTCATTAGTCTGTTGCTGAAGATTGTAAAACCCCATCTCTAAAAAGCCTGGCATAGATTTTTAGACGCACACTCTGAGTATTCAGTGTTAGCCTTAAACACTTGGCTCTTCAGACATAGAGCTTTTAAATCAAGTCTTTAAAAGATTCCCTTTCTCTGAAATAGTGATAAAGATGCAGCCGTGTTAGTAACTTCTATAGTACAAAAACTTATTTCCAAAGTCTTCCTCTTGTCTTTTCCATCCCTCCTTCTGTAATTTTTCTCCTTTCAAGCCCCTGTTGAAGAGATCCCTTAAAGGGAAAACATTCCTTTTCTTTCTGCTAGCTTGAGGGTGTGGAAACTTATTTGGGTTGGGGGCCACTGACTCACAGAAAAATCAGTTGGAGGCTGCACACAAGTGAAGTGAGAAGCAAAAAACAAAAAAAAAACCCCTCACTGATGTGGCCCCTGACTGAGGAGAAAGACCCTCTCCAAATTCCTCTCATGCACCAGAGCCTTGGGGGGCCCAGACTAGTAGATTTTGGATGCTCCAGCCCTGCAGTGAGGCAAGAGGAGGGTTGGAGCACCAGCATGGGCTCCCCAATGCAGGGGGGCCCTAAGCCTCAGGGGCCAGATCCAGGCAAGCCAGAGGCTGCATCCGGGCCAGGGCCTGAGGTTCCCGCCCCCCAAGATAGATGGACAAACGAGTTTCTGTTTCTTAACTTCTATTTGATCGTTTAAGATATAAAATCCTTTGTTATGCCTAAAGTCTTTGGAAGCCTATTTCTCATATAAACATATGGTGAAATGTCATAAACTTGTCTGTTGCTATGGAGATCGCACAAAATAAATTCGTGTTCCCTTTTTCTGAAAGCAATGAACTTTGTCATGAACATACTACACTGCTCTGATTGATGGAAACTAACGTCTGTGTGTCAGTGTGTTCCGTAGGTCGTCATCTGGAGTGATTCCTCTAGGAAGGCTGAAGAGCCCATTTAAAATATAAAATCAGCTTAGAAATGCTGATGAGGAAAATGTAAAGCCGAGAAGAACTGCATCCGGGTGCATGCCTAGGTACTAAGGCACAGAGCAGATAGGTGATTTGCCCAAAGAACACACATGGACTCTGATAGAGCTGGGATTTGAACTTAGGGCCTGGGCTAGTGCCCTAGCCACTGCACCATCCTGCCTCCCTTCTTTTGGCTCTTTGGTTATAAGTATTAAACATGAGTGTGCACGGATAAGTAAACATGACCATGTCTGGTTACAGGGACGTGGGTTTCGCATGTGTTTGCAGACTTGCTGTGTCGAGTGTGTTCATGTGTGTATAATTGTGCGCACATTGGACAGTGTGTACAATAGTGTAATGGTACCTTCGTGTGTTGACACAAACTTGTGAATGAGCATGAAGGAGTCTTACATAAAACAGGTGAATGTAGTCCTGGGCATGTCTCCACTGCAGCTGCGTGTGTGTGTCCCAGGGCAGCAGACAGACACATGCGAGCTCAGCATATAAACACCTAAGCCTCAGGGGCCAGAGTTTAAGATATAAAATAAGTGTTCGCCATTTAAAATAAACTTGCCAGCTGTCTACACTGGCCGCATGAATTTCCGGAAAAGCACTGACGATCTAATGTAAAATCATCAGTGCTTTTCTGGAAAAACTATGCTGCTCCCGTTCGGGCAAAAGTCTTTTTCCGGAAAACTGTTCCAGAAAAGGACCAGTGTAGACAGCACAGTAGTGTTTTCCACAAAAAAGCCCCGATTGCAAAAATGACAGAAAAGCGTGTCTAGATTGGCCACGGACGCTTTTCCGGAAAAAGTGCTTTTCCGGAAAAGCGTCCTGCCAATCTAGACGCGCTTTTCCAGAAATACTTTTAACGGAAAACCTTTTCTGTTAAAAGCATTTTTGGAAAATCATGCCAGTGTAGACGTAGCCTATGGGTGTGATTGAGGGTAGCAGCTCAGCTCGCTGCCGGGGGACAGACTTGCCCAGACAGCTAGCCCTAGCTGCCGTCCATGCAAGCCTAGCTACACCGCTGCTTTTAGCACACTGCCTCCAGCTGAGCTCTCAGTCCATCTCCTGTGGCTGGGAAGCAAATTCTCTGGGAGATCCTGCTATAGCCACACGCTGTACAATCTCCTGTGGTAACAGTCGTAGGTTTGGAGGCTGCTGATTGTCTTCTGGGGACACCCGATCTCAATCTCCCAGGGATCGTGGCTCCCCTGTGCCTGGGCAGCTGCTCCACTGGCTCATTGCTTCCTTGTTACAATATCAGGTCTTGTTTCTAGAAGGACTTTTCTGACTTCAGCTCCCAAGCTCTGGCCCTGGTTGTGTGGAGCAGCCACTCCACCTCTTGTCTCTTTTTCGACAGGCAAAGCTGGCAGGGGAGCGGGGGGCTCGTGCCATCCTCTTCGACATCACAGACGATGAAAGTGCTGCTGACCAGGTACCAAGGCCACTGATCCCCTCCTGTCCTGACGTGTGTCCCCCCCAGGCCAGGCTCTCTGCCGGGCACCCAGCTGGGACTGAGGCGGGGTGTGTGTGAGCAGGTTGGCTCCTCTCTTCATACCAGGAAGAGAGCCTTTTCCCAGCTCTCTCACACACAGAGACCTGTTTGCACCCAGGCTTTCCCGAGCGGGCTAGCGCTGTTGCTCAGCTCAGGGCCCATGCAGGCATTTGGGTGCATAATACCCGCTCTGTGCAGCCACAGTGGGGACTGTTCTGGTGCCAAATTTGCCAAGAGCAGTCCTAATGCTACCAGCTGACCTATTACCAGGCTCACTGATGGGGGTGGGCAAAGGGGATAGTTGCCCCAGGGCCCGGCACCGCAGGCGCTTTGATCACCAATGGAGCCTGAGACCACCCCTTCTGGAAACACAGAGCTGCCCCCCACCTTGCCTGTCGGCTCCTCTGCCCGTTCCCCTTGGGGGAGCAGAGCCATATAGAATAACACAACTGGTCCAACATCTGCCACACTCCCTATTCACAGGGGCACTGATGAACACTGATTCCTTAGGGAGAAATTAGGGGGGCCATCTGATCCCTACAGAAATGCAGGGCACAAGGAGGTAGCCCCGGGGCTTAGAGAAAGAGCATGGTTAGTAGAGAGACACTGGGGAGATGGTGAATGTGGGGCCAATTGCTGTGTTCAGAATTAACCCAGGCAGACTTCTGAACTCTGGCTCTTTTCTTTGCTGATGATAAGCTGTGCTGCTCTCATGCAAAGGAACCTGCTTCTTCCCACCCGGGGGGGCAGCATGGTGGAGCGGAGCTGGCCTCAGACCTGTGTAGACCAGCGGTTATTTTTGTATGAGTGGGTGACGCGAGCGTTTGGCCTCCAGTCAAGCTGTTACCCAGCTACAGGACTGCTCAGCAGAGCAGGAGCTGTGCTCGAGAGCTGTGAGTCGGCTCTATTTTCCTGGGCGCTAGAATCTTGGGAAGTGACTATGAAATAATGTGGCTGTTGGCTAAAAGGACACGTGGCTTTAGAGAGAACATTGGGCCCTTTCCCACGTACACTGAAAATTAAAGTCCACTGCACTAAAACAGCCCCGGAGGAAGTGCCTCAATGCTTGCTGATGAGGCCACTGGGCAGGCAATATTAGTTAGGGAAATGCAGGGCAAATAACGATTGCCCCGAATGTAGGTGATGAGGAGAAAGCTGCTCTTTGGGCTAGAGGCTGTGCCTGGATTAGGGTGTCAATATCTTTGCACACAAAGGGAGGTGGTGCTGATTGTGGACACAGTCCCCATTGCTTTTCTGAGTGCACAGTTGGAGTGCACAGTCCCCATTCATTCGTTCATTCCTTAGTCCCACATTGCACCAGGCACTTTCCCAGAAGGTGCCCAAAAGGCCCTGCAGCAAACAGCTTACAGCTGAGACAGACGTCGCGTGGGGCAGGAGACGGGTGGGTAAAGTGTCACACCTGGGTGCTTATTCTTTTGCAAGGGTTCTAAAGCATCACCTCCCTGAGATGAAGCCTCTGGGTTCTGGGAAAGGGTTTGAAAGAGGAAAGCAAGAGTCGTACGTATTGATGGGAAAGGGGCAGGGCGGGGAGCTGGCCTGGAGGGGACGGAGTGCTTCCATGTGGTGCAGACTGAGGAGCAGAAGGGCAGTAATAGGCGTACTATGACATGGGTTCTGGGCAGCAGCCCAGAGGGTCCGGGTGCTAGAGAACACAGTACACTAGTGGACCAGGATGGCAGTGGCTGCGGCCCTTGTCCTAGGGGCGTAGTGGATCGCTGGATATTGATACGTCTCCATCACACCCATGTCTCAAGCTGTGCTCCAGCCCATCTCAAGACCAAGCTTGTTTCTTTGCAGCTGAGGAAACCCAGGGGCCTGAGTCAGCCTGTGGTTCTGATCTGGGGCCACGATGCAGAACTTCTCATGGGCGTTGTGAACAAGAATCGAGAGGCACATGTGAAGATTGAGGTTAAAGAGCAGCCAGCGTGGGTGAGGAACACGTCACACCTGCCTCCTTCTTCCCACTCTGGGTCAAACCTTACTTCCCTAGAACCCAATCTTCCCAGGTAACATCTGGCTCACTGCAAGAGCCAAGTGGAGCCCTTCTTCCTCCCAGCGGCTTAGACTGTCCATGGCTAGGGAAGGTGTAAAGCCCCTGTGACCCCTTGGTAATTTCCCCTCTGAAACCTCCCAAGTCATCTAAGCAGATTTCTTTCTCTGGTACCACGTGAAGGTCCTTTGGTCTGCGGAGGAAGCTGAGACCCTGAGAGGGGCTGGCTGAATTTGGAGAGACCTGAGCCTGGTTTCTTTTCTCTGTGAAGAGCAGGACCAGATTAAGGGGGGGGGGGGGGCTAGCTGGGCAGTTGTCCAGGGGGGCCAACCTATGGGGGGCACCTTATCGCAGCTGTAAGGGGTGGCGCACACTCAGGGGGCGGGGGCTGTGCATGCGCCGTGCACCCACTACCTGGGGCGCAAGAATGGCTCAAGCCTGCACTGGTGAAGAGCAGGGGTGGGGGAACGCCTCAGGTGTCTGAAGGGTCATGCTCTGGAAGAGATCAGGTCTTATTCCTACCAGGCACAGCCACCAGGGTAACAGATCGTCTGTCTCTCCAACAGCCAGACTATGACGTGTGGATTCTTCTCACAGTTCTGAGCACTGTCATCATGATCATTCTGATTTTTGTCGTTCGCACCAAGTGTCACTGGAACAGGACACAGGTAAGAATGCGGCACTGCTGGTGGAAATTGTGGTTGCTATATTTATGTGCCTAACAAGCCCCTTTCCACCAATACAAGTATTGCAACAGCACTGCACACTGATATAAGGCCTTCCCCCCGCAGACTTCAAATTCCTTCCCATAGGGGAGTAGTATTGTCCCCATTATAGAGCTGAGTCCCAGACAGGCTAAAGCCTGAATTTCCAACCCAACTAAAGACAATGGGTGCTTGGCAGCAGGCATGTTTGGAGGGCTGGCCACTTAATTGGGATTGGTCCTGCCTTGGGCAGGGGGCTGGACTTGATGGCCTTCTACGGTCTTTTCCAGCTCTGTGATTCTACAGTTCAGCTCTTTTGCCTTTCTCCCAGGACTCCTTGCAGCAGCAGACCCTGCAGGCAATCAGCCAACTGGCCACCCGGAAATACCAGTGGCAGTGCCGACAGGCCGCCTTCAGGGATTCAGCCAGCAGCTGCAGCTCAGCTCCCATCTGCGCTATCTGTCTGGAGGAGTTCAGCGAGGGCCAGGTAGGCAGCATGTGAACTCTTGGGGCAGACGGGCTGTTGGAGGGGGCTGATGGCTGAACAAGGGGCTCTGAACATGGCAGGAGCAGAGTGCTTTGTGGGGCAGGGCATTTCTTGGCCCTGTGCTTTGGAGTAAGCCTGCCTCCTCATCGCCCTGTTGCCCAGTGGACCAGCAGGGGAGAAGGGGCCTGTGAAGGCTTTAAGCCCAGAGCCTCACAGATTTATGCATCCAGCTCTCATGGACACCAATAGGAGTTAGGTGCCCAACTCTCTTTAGGAATCTGGGCCTTGGTCCTTTGGGGATCTGCCCCAGGCTGTTCTGGGATGCTCAAGTGAGCCTAAAGCCAAAAACATTGTCCTGACACCACCTGTCGAGGCTGCTGTCCAGGTGTCCTGGCCTGTCACCTGTAGGTACCACACTGCCACTGGAACCCATCAGACCTAGCACTGGCACAGGGCCAGTTAAGGGGTGATTTGATCACAGGGAACAGCTATTTGATGCAGGTCTCTTCCCTCTAGCAGCGAAAAGTCTAACGCCCAGGGGCTGGGAGCTGAGGTTAGACACACACAGCCTGGAAACCAGACGCATATTTTAACAGTGACAGCAACAACTTACCCAGATCAGGGGTGGATTCTCCATCCCTGACGACTTCTGTATCGAGGTGGGGTGAGATCTCAAAGCTCTGCTCTAAGGATTATTTTGAGCCTGCGTTATATAGGGGGTGAGACTGGATGATCACAGTGGTCCCCTTGGATGGAATCTATGGATCAGTTGTATCTTTCTGGGAGCAGGTGACGGCAGGACATTTGCAGGGAGAGTTTGAGGTGTGGGGGAAGCTCTAATGGATTCCCTGAGCAATGCCTCTCCCCAGGCACCGCGTCAGCTGCCCCCAACATGGGGGCTTTCCTTGGAGCCCCTGGTGTCAGAGGGCTGCTGACAGGGCATTCCTTCAGAGGCCTGTGCAGTGTGTGGCACCATGTGGACCCCGCCAGCTGGTATGCACAGAGGGAGCTCACAGCATTGGACTCACTTCGACAGCCTGGTTTTATACTGGGGAGCACCCAGCATGGGGGATCAGGGCTGATCTCTGGAGCAGGGAGAGAGACGCCTCCCCACTCCCGTCCAACTCCCTCTCGGGACTCACACCCCCTCTGTGTCTGTCTAGGAGCTGCGGATTATTTCCTGTTCCCATGAGTTCCACAGAGAGTGTGTCGACCCCTGGCTGCAGCAGCACCACACCTGCCCGCTCTGCATGTTCAACATCATCGGTAGGGCTCCAACAGGGGCCACTTGCCCATGGAAGGCACCTCCCAGAAAGAGCTGTGATGTGTGGGTGAGGTTTGTGGGGTGGGGGTGGGGTGTCTGGAGTGTTAGTGTATGTGATGTTATGTGTGTGGTGAGATGGGGATTGTGGGGTGAGGAACATTCACTTCCTTGATGTTCGGCATACGCTGGCCCTGAACCTGCAGAGAATCAAAGCAATCAGGGAATCGCTGGGACTACTCCTTGTGATAGCAGAAAGAATTAGAGCTCATGCTGCATCCAACCCTCCTGTGGGGAGGGAGTGCATTGCACCAGAGTGCAGCCATAAAGACGGCCTTGCCTCTGAGATAGCTGTACAGTTAGGTGCCCTCACCTGTGCTCAGGTGCAAGACTCTTCTTTGTGGTGTGCATATGTGGGTGCACATTGGGCTGTGTGTTTGGAGGGAGGGAGTTTGCACTGTGTATTGGGGAGAAGGGTTGTGGTGTGCATGCAGGGGAATTTGTGTAGGGGAGATATGTATGGTTGTGAACCACCACTGAACAGTTTTCTTGCACCCACCCCTGTGTGTGTCTAGAAGCCCTGTGTACAGTGAGTGCTGTGCAGCTCTCCTAAAGTGTGGAAAGGTGCTGGGTTAGGAAGGGCTCACCAGGCTGTGTGGCAAGCAGAAAAGGCATCCCCAGGTGTTGGTGGAGACAAGGAATGTTTGGGTATCAGGCACAGAAGGGAGGAGGATCATGGCAGATGTTACCAGGCCCCAGGTTCTGGGAGTGTGAAGCAGGCACCAGGAAGGGGTTGCCAGGCAATGGGTGAGTGGGTGGAGTTCTAGAGAGGTGCTGCCAAGCAGTGGGTAGGTGAGTGGAGTTCTGGGGAGGTGTTGCCAGGCATTGGGTGAGTTGGGGGAGGGGTTGCCAGGCAATGGGTAAGTGGAGGTGGGCTCTGGGGAGGGGTTGCTGGGTTACTGAGTGAGTGGGCAGGGTGCTGGGGAGGGGTTGTCAGGCAGTAGGTAGGTGGATGGAGTTCTGGGGAGGTGTTGCCAGGCATTGAGTGAGTGGAGGTGGGCTCTGGGGATTAGTTGCCTGGCTGTGGGTGAGTGGGCGGGGTTGCCGAGGTTCTCCGGGATGGGATGTAGACCTGTAGTGAATAAGCCTTTTTGGTCTCTCTAGAGGGGTCTGCCTTTGCCCAGCCTGTGCATTCCAGGCAGAATCCCCCGGGTCTGGCACCTGGGCAGCGGCTTCACCTCTTCCGGCAACACCCAGGACATGCCCTGTATCACCTCCCAGAGGCCCATTCCCAGAGGCAGCTCAGAAACTTTGCTCCCCCGCTTCCCCAGGGCAATCCCTTCTTTCATTCCCCAGAGCTCTCCCAGCTGGATTTCTGCACCATGCACTATGCGCCATACAGGCCGCTGGGCTCCCTGGCCACATGCAGCCGCCAGCCCTCTCTAGCCCCAGGCCTGGGGCACGAGCAGTACCGAAAATCTCCAGCATATGGGCAGATGCCATCTTCTCACAGGACCTGCCCCCTTCCACCCCAGGCCCGTTGCCTGGGATTCAGGACTGTGGGAGAAGCAAGGCACCACCATGCGGCCCCTCCTCGCCGGGGAGCCAGTCATGGGAGGCAACACAGCAGCAGTGGCTCTGGAGAGAGCTATCTCACAGAGCCCAGCGGCTACCTGGCTGATGGGCCTGGCAGTGACTCCAGCTCCGGACCCTGTCGTGCTTCCTCCAGCGATTCCATGTTGAATTGCACAGATGTCAGCCTGCAAGGCATCCATGGCAGCTGTTCCACCTTCCGCAGCTCCCTGAGCAGTGACTACGACCCCTGGGTGTACTGTAGCAACGCCGACAATGGCCGGGAGCAGCTGCAGCCTCCAGGGGAGCCAAGGCCCAGGTCTTTGGACTTGAAGGAGATCAGCAGCCCTGCATTAGACAAGAGTCAGGTACTGAGACATGTGCATTATCACCACCACAGGCACCATCACTACAGGAAGGACCTGGAGTGTGGGCCTGTGAAATCAAGCCAGGAGCCCAGCCCGCATAAGCCCCGCTTTTCTGGGGGTGTGCACAGTGCCCAGACACAAAAGAGGACTGAGAAAACGCATCACTGCCAGCAGCCAGGGTCCCAGGATGTACTCCTGTCAGGCTGTGTGCGTCAGGGACCCGACCTCTCAGAGCACCTCTCCTCTTCTGCAGACGGGTCTGACTTCAGCTGGGTGGCCAGTCGGCAAGCTGGAGCTGCTGATCCATGGCCCTTCCCGCTGTCACGCAGACATGGCTTACAAAGCCGGCACCACCGAAGGAAACGGAAGGGCCGCCTGGAGCCTGCCCTGGCTCACCTTCCCGAGCACTCAGACGTGCACAAGGACTGCAATGTTCACGTTCACTATGGCCACTCTCCTGGCTATTGCTGCTTCCCAGAAGGGCAGCCACTGCTGCCAACTGCCCCTTTGCCCTATTGCTCAGGCTCTCAGGTGGTCTGGAAGTGCCTAGTCCCACCTGCCAATTTGGAGTCTCAGCAGCAGGACAAGGATCTACCAGAATGGGAGGGGAAAGCCATGTATCCAGCTGATTTCTCAGGGACAGGCACCATGGAAGAGCATACGAGTCTTCACCTCCACTGCCAAACTCTGCAACAGAATCAGGGTAAGTTATTAGTTACCTCTGCTTTTAGCAAACATGCACACAGCAGGTTGTACAATTCAGGGTTCAGAGAGAGAGAGAAAGAGACAGAATGAGAGACAGCGTGTGTGTGTGCTCACTTATATACACCACACATTGCCCCAAGCTATCGACAACAGCTAAGGATGGATGTTTTTTGGTAGTTCAGACATTACAGTAATATGCCTCTGATTAATAGCATATATGATTAATAAATCCCTTTGTCTGGCTTTATCAGCTGGCAGCATTTTCCAGACAAATTCAAATTAAAATAAAGTGTACTATTTAACAGTGATTGTGATTAACCTTTGGGAAAAACTGCCTGGTTGGTGGATTCTCTCTTTTTGTGTGTGTCTTCAAATCAAGACTGGATGTGTTTCTAGAAGAGCCGCTTCAGCCAGATACAAGTTAGTGAGCTCAAGACAGGGGTAACTGTGTGAAATTCTTTGGTCTGAGTTACACATATGATATAATTGTCTTTCTGGCCTTAAACTCTGTGAGCCTATAAATTATATTCCTCCTTCCTTAATTAATTCAATTGTGCAGAAGTTGCTTTGTGGATTCTCTCTGGGGACACATTCATTTTATTAATAAAAGGCTCACACTTTGCCCAATTGATGTGTGTCAGTTGTGACTGTACTTGATAGACACACACTCTTAGGCTGTGTCTATGCTACAAAGTTTGGCCAACATAAATTATGTTTGCATAGAGCTACTGACATTTGTATTGCACTTGGATGTGTGCACACTCGGCTGCTCGCATCAGTGCTGTATGTACTCACCAGGTACATAGGTATCCCAGCATGCCCCACTTTGCCATCTGATGTAGTGCCATGTGGCACACTTGCACAGTAGTTTCTGCGATACCAGCAAGTCATCCAGGGGTTTCTAGGAAAAAGGGCTCAAGTTCCCACAATCCCACTCTCTCCAATACAGAATGCTTCTTCCATCTCACAATTTTCTTGCCATTATGCAGATCACTTTTTAGTCTCTGACAGCTCTCTGGCAGAAGCAAGCACCCTGCACCATTCAGCACAATTCTCATGAGCACTGCTAACCCCACCACAGGATTCTCTCTGGCTGTGTCTAGACTGGCAAGTTTTGCTTTTGCGGAAAAACTTGCTAGCTGTCTACACTGGCTGCTTGAATTTCTGCAAGAACACTGACTTCCTACTGTCTAAAATCAGTGCTGCTTGTGGAAATACTATGCTGCTCCCGTTCAGGCAAAAGTCCTTTTGCGCAAAGCTTTTGCGCAAAAGGGCCAGTGTAGACAGCTCAGATTTGTTTTGCGCAAAAAAGCCTCGATCGCAAAAATGGTGATCAGGGCTTTTTTGTGGAAAAGCACATCTAGATTGGCACGGACACTTTTCCGCAAAAAGTGCTTTCGCGGAAAAGCATCTGTGCCAATCTAGACGCTCTTTTCCGCAAATGCTTTTAACGGAAAACTTTTCCATTAAAAGCATTTGTGGAAAATCATGCCAGTCTAGACGCAGCCCCAGGGTATGTCTACAGTACAGAGTTGTGTCAGAAAAACAGCTGTTTTTCCAACAAAACCCGGGTTACATCCACACTGCAATTGCGTTCTTCTGAAAGGAAATCAAAAAAACAGAGGGGGTTTTCCAGCGTTGGTAATCCTCTTTCTATGAGGAAGAAGCCTTTTTCTGAGAGCGCTCTTTTAGGAAAAAGACGTATGTAGATGAGGAACAGGGAGTTCTTTGAAAAAAAGAGGAAAGAGGAAAAAGCACAGGTGCCCTGGTGGCCACTCCATCCCTAGTAATCACTGCTTACATGCGAGATAGTGTCCATTCAGTGTGGATGCTATCTTTCGAAAAAGCAGATCGCTTTTTCGATGCGCTTTTGTGTGTGGACGCGCTCTTTTGGAAGAGGTTTTTTCAGAAGATCTCTTCCAAAAAAAGGTTCTTCCGAGAGAAGCCTGCAGTCTAGACATAGCCTTTGTCTGCAGAACATCAGCAGCTACTGCTACAACTGGTGGCATGGGGAGGGCAATGAGCTACTCAAAGCCAACGGCAGGATGATAGATATGGTGAATCCTCATGTTAGTTTGTGGCTGGGATTCATGGAGCAGTCCCACCTGGTAGATAAGTAATTCTGGGCCAGCAAACACGATTGTGAGGCTGAGCAGGAGCCCTTGAGTAGGAAAGTACAGTGGCCTTGAATTTCCGGAAAAGCACTGACGATTTACTGTAAGAAATCAGCTGCTTTTCCGGAAATACTATGCTGCTCCCGCTCGGGCAAAAGTTCATTTTCCGGAAAACTGTTCCGGAAAAGGGCCAGTGTAGACAGCACAGTAGTCTTTTCCGCAAAAAAGCCCCAATCGTCATTTTCGCGATTGGGGCTTTTTTGCGGAAAAGACTACTGTGCTGTCTACACTGGCCCTTTTCCGGAACAGTTTTCCGGAAAATGAACTTTTGCCCGAGCGGGAGCAGCATAGTATTTCCGGAAAAGCAGCTGATTTCTTACAGTAAATCGTCAGTGCTTTTCCGGAAATTCAAGGGGCCAGTGTAGACAGCTGGCAGCTTATTCCGGAAAAGCGGCTGCTTTTCCGGAATAAGTGGCCCAGTGTAGACACAGCCTGGGAGTGTTTCCGAGCTTCACTTAGGGACATGGGGGTGAACACCAGAGTTTATCTAATGTTTAAATAGCTACTAGACTGCTGGCCTGTCTGTCAGACCTTCTGACTTTCTTTTAGCCTCCCCTTTCCACAAAGTTGTCAAGCTGGTTTTTAAGTTCTTTTTTCACAGGAACTGCTACTCTGTGTGGTGCATGTAGCAGTCTCATCTTGGGGCTGATTTCCAATGATATTCTCCAGGAAGGAATCCAAGACCTTTTTATATTGATTATTTGCTCCTGTTACAGTCTGGAGCTGCCTGTTTCCATAGATCATTACATTGTCCACTACTCTTAAAAGCTACAGTTTGTCACTCGATTCTGACCAAAGCAGAAGCACTTACAGTGTTTCAGTGATTTCCAGTGAAGCTGGACTGTGTGTGTACACACTTCAGTTTCCTGGAGGGACACGAGTGGGATTTTAGCCTTGCAGCTGCTTCAGCTTTTGTCCATGAGGCCATGTCTGCTTCACAGACAGCCTCATGCACTGGCACTGCAGACCAGAGTGGAATGCTCATGGTCATTGCCAAAGTGAGTCAGGGCTGCTGGTCAGCTACAAAGTAGAATTTGATAAGTAAAAATCTCTGACTCCATGTTGCACACAAGAACCAATCAGCAGTGCGCAGAGGCTGGTCCAGCAAAACCCAGGAACAGTGCTGCATATTCTTGAGCAGTACCTACTAGCACCTCATAAGTTATCTGCTGAGCTAGATGTAGACACAGAGCACTCCTTTTGCCTTGAAACTGTTTTAGGGTAATTTCTCCAAATCTAATTGCTGCTTTTTCCAAGCTAAGATGATTTGCTTGGTTTCTGTCTGTATTTCTGATCTGGTCCGATTTCTAAAGCAGTGAATTATTTGTGTAGCCCACACTCGTCTCAGTATTGTTGCAGGCCTATCTGCTGACGCTGAAAGCCCAGCTGGCTTTTAGCTCACAAGTAGAGGCTCATGCACTAAGCTCCAGAGATCCCAGGTTTGGTTCTGCCTGCTGGTCTTACATTTGCAGACACTGAATTTGCTGATAGGTTTTGCATCCTTTTGTATATGCTCCTCACAGAATTCAGACAAGCAATTGTTTCCCTTCATTCTCAATACATTTGGGGTAAGGAGAATGTTGGAAAGCCTCATCTAGATGTGCATTTGTTCTGGATATACTTGTGTATCCATTGTGGGAGCATATTCTGGATTTGCGAGTCACCAGTGAGGAGGAGAAACAATCCTGTGTGATCTATGTGCCTACCCACACAGCAGCAATTGTGAATATTTGAAGCAATAATCCTGGCAAATAGTCTGTGAGCAGACCAGAGGCACATGTCTGTGTAAACTATGCAGTAGCTGGCTAATTCAGAGAGCAAAGGGCACACACTGACTTCAGCAGAGCACCGAGGCCTTAATTTCATGCTCAAACTCTGCCTCTGCTGGGTCTTAGTTTTGTTGTCCACTCAGAAACAATTACACAACTTTTCATTAGCTTTCTCCCACTACATTGTCAGCACACAACACACCTGCATGCACCCACACCCACAGAATGTGTGTTGCTTCTTGTACTGTGGTTGAGTTTCCTCTGCTGTCCAGCCCAGGGCATAGAGGGTATGGTCAGTGGCACTCTGGAGATACAAATAATTGTTATTCTCAATCACTGTTCATTCAAAAACAGCTCCATGTATTTTCCTCAAATTAAAACAAACTCTGTCTCCTTAAAACGCCACCAACAGAAACCCTTTTAGTGCTGCCGTAAAGCCTGGACAGTCACATCCACAGCAAAGGCTTTCAGAAAGGTCTGAACGAACCTGGTGCTTAAAAGTCTTGTTTTCAGTTTTACCTTAGGGTCACCAGCCCTTCAGGATTCTCCTGGAGTCTCCAGGAATTAAAGATTAATGTTTAATTAAAGATTGTCCTGCAGTGAAACCTCCAGAAATAGGTACAACCAAAATGAGCCATTCCACCTTAGTTGTATTTTGGACTGTTCATTGCCTGTGAAAGTTAGACTGACTGTGCACATGGGACAGAATGTGCTGGCAAAAACCAGGGGACATGTGATGTTCTCGGTATTATCACTGGAATTGGGCCCTGGAGGCAGGGATACTTCTGACTTAAATTTTCTTTCTTGAATGCAGGGTCCAAGGAGGAGATCCAAGATGTGTATGAACATTCAGTTTAATGAAAGATGAACTCATCTGCATACGCCAGAGAGGACAAGCCATTCAGGAAATGAACAAGAACTGGAACTAGTGACTTATTTCCTGGATCTCTGAGCAGGCATTGTAGTAACAGTCCCAGTATGCCCTGCACTGACAAGCAAAATGTGCTGGTCACTTCCATGAGGCCCCCTCCTACCTCCTCTACCAAATTGTGGTTACACAAAATCAGCATGCCTCTCGCCTTTGAAGGCATGGACAGCACACACTGATCAGAAGACATGCTGGGAGCATGGATTTACTCATTCCAACCCTGTGTCCAGTGTCCGTTCTCTGGAGAAGCCTGCTGGGTAGACATAATCTGGTATTTTGGCACAATTATATCCCTGTGGGTATTTGGAGGCTTTTTGAAATGTTTTGGAAATGGGCAGACCTGTAAGACTAAACGTTGCACAGATGAAATTATATACCCAAATAGCTCCTGCCTTTTTCATTTCCTCACTTAGGTCAAAGCCTGGCCAGCCTATTTGACTAACCCTTCATACTCTTATTTCTCAAACTTAAGATCTTCTATTTTTACACTGTAGGAGCTCTCTTAGGTCTGGACCCTGCAAGATGTTTCCATGGACTGCAATGGGAATTGAGGGTCCCTGCCACTCAGCAGTTAACTCCCCTTCAGCTGAGGCCAGGATTGGGACACTGTATTTTTTGTCTGCAGCAGGATCCAGCTGGAGGAGCAGTAAGGACATTCAGGATTCTGCCAGCATTTCAAGGAAGAGCTGGGGCTAAGAATCTTCTCAGAATCCATTACGTTACCTGGAACGGTTCTCAGATTCCTCATTCATCACTTAATTCCTCACTTACATAGCAGAGTAGATATAAAGGCCAGACCTGTAACGGTGCTGAGTAGCTCACTTGCAGTGCATGTTTCAAAGCCTCTTTAAGCATCTTTCTGGAGAGCATGGGAATCATGGAGAAATGAGAGGCTAACCTCTTAATCCATGAGCCAGCATGCAGATCCTCCTGCCTTCTTCATTCTGACCACTGCCATCATCATCCGGGGCATCTGGCTTTGGCCACTGTCATCAGACAGGATACTGGGCTAGATGGATCTTTGGTCTGACCCAGTATGGCTGGTCTTATGTTCTTATGTTATCTCCTGGGAAATATCTCCTGAGACACACCCTGGGAAAGCATTTGGGTATGTACATGCTCAGTAGAGTCCTATCCCAGCTGATAGTTCAGGCATCTTAAGATATTTTTGGTGATTGTTGCAGGAACTGAGCCCACTCCACACCTTGAAGACCATGCCTCTTGTTTGCAGTGTAATAGGAATCATCCCTTTCCCTGAGGAGGATGCTGTCTGGTGTAAGACCCAAGCTCAGTGGAACAGGTGCTCAGTAGCAAAGGACCCTGGCTGCTCTGTACTGCAGTATTAGGTTGGTTGCATTGGGCAGCTCCCGTTTAAAAGTGTTTTCATTTCCTGGCCTTATGCTGCTACTTTCCTTTCACAAAACCAACCTCTCAAGGCTTCAGGATCTCTCTGGGCACAGAGAATAAATCTAGGGAGTTGTTTAGCTGGGGGAGGAGGTGCAGTTCTGTCCAGACAGGTTATCAGATAGGAAGAAGAGAAAGAGCTATTCCAAAGCACTGTAAACAAAAGGAGGACTAGATGCCTTAGTCAGATAAGAGGGGAGGTAACATGTAAGAATCAATGAAAGGTAACCCTGGCAGGTACTGCACACTTGCACCTCCAGAGGAACATATCACATCAAGGAGCCTGACAGGTACTCAGCAGAACCCAGGATGAAGCTCCAGGATGAGGCTTTGAATGGCTATAGTATTCATCCAAGACAGGAGCTCAGTGTTTATGGTCCCTTTCCTTGCCCTAGGAGAGTGATGGCCCCAGCTGGGAGTAGAAGTACAAATCAGAGCTTCTCAAATGGGCATCACTCATTGCTGAGCCTCACTTTCCTAGAGACACAGGCAGCGGAGTTCTAACCTCTTCCTAGAACAGCCAGAGTCACTGAAAGGAGTCCAAAGTGGGCACAGTTCCCAGAGCTATGTCTATAGTAGGATGTGAAAGGTTAACCAGTTAACCGGTGGGGGGCTGGAGCAGCTCCCCACCTACCACAGGGGGCCTGCTGCGGACAGACGGTGCTCCAGCCCCACAGGAAGCACACCGTGGACAGGAGTTGCTCTGGTGGGGGTTGGGAGCTGGTAGCAGCCCCAGCCCCTTTGTGGGGGCTGAGAGCCAGCAGCCAGCCTCAGCGCAGGGCTGGGAGCCGGGCCCCGCAGGCTGGGGTCAGCTCCAGCCGGGTTGGAGCAGTCCCCTGCCTGGATCCTGCTTAGTTGGTTAACCAGTTAAACATTATGTAAACCTAACATTTAACCAGTTAACTGATTAACCAGGATTTTACATCCCGAGTCTGTAGCCTCCTTCATTCATGCAAATGGCCCTCTGCTCCTTCCTGTTGTAAAGCTCAGATCCGTTTGAAATGTGAACATGGCTTTTAGTTTTTGTTGAGTCTGTTCTGCAGGCTCTTGGGTGTTTTGGGTATCTTAGAAACCAAAAAGAATAGTTTTTTATATATATGAAAATCTGTATATTTATGTCCAAGATGGAAACAAAGATGTTTGACTATGGTGATGTGCTCAAAAATATATTTATTTACTAATATATTTATCCACGTATCAGGCTGCTCTTGTGTTTTTGTTTTGCCTGAAGTCCTCAGACGCTTGTGTTCTAAGAAGGTGCCTCCTTTCAATTCCACAGAAATGAATTATTTCAAATGACCATATGCTGGTAATGGATGTTCTTCCTAAGAAGGAAGCCACTGCCAAGCTCCTAGCTGTAGGTAGGAGCTGGGGTCCAGCATGAGAGCCAGGGCAAACCACTGGAGTGAGATCGGGTGATGACACTATTATATCAGTTTAGGAAGCCTGTTATTTAACAGGAGCGATTTAAACAGATGGAAACCAGGGCACAAAGCTGTACCAATGTATCCGTTTAACCGGATTGGTGCAATGGCACATACAGAAATCACTGGAGTTTTGAGTATGTCCCTTAGTCGTATGGGATAAAAAACAAATGGCCCTTTGTGTACTGGAGGTGAATTGCCAGCAATGCACGTAAATTAGATTGCTAAGCACTTTTCATTATAGATACTATTTCAGTTGCTTATAATTTTGACGAACTTGAACTGCTGATTTTCTCCATCCATTATTTCCAAGAATGAGGGTAGGGAACCATACACTGTTATTGTTCATGGTAAAAAAATTATCACCACTGTTTTGTTGAGAAGATGGAGGTGTATCCCTGCCTTGAAGTATCAGTGATGAGAGTATCAGAAATTAGTGATGATCTATGGCAAAGGAGAAGTGAGGCACTCCCATGGGAATCAAAAGCTTTAGAATTTGGAGGTCAGTGAATCTTCACTCTTCTTGGCATGTAACCCAGAAGTCCTGCTCTATCTGACCACAGATAAACCACTACTAGTAGTATATTGTGTGTGAGTGCTGCCTGGAACAAAGAGGGACAAAGGGTCCAATCCTGTTCCCATTGACTCTTCACTGGTTGCATAAATGAAGTCTTAAGGAAACAGCATAGCAATTTCCTCTGATGTTCCCTCTTAGGTTACACTTACACTTAGGCTACATCTAGACTGGCATGATTTTCCGCAAATGGTTTTAACGGAAAAGTTTTCCATTAAAAGCATTTGCAGAAAAGAGCGTCTAGACTGGTATGGACGCTTTTCCGCAAAAGCACTTTTGCAGAAAAGTATCCGTGCCAATCTAGACGTGCTTTTCCGCAAAACAAATCTGAGCTGTCTACACTGGCCCTTTTGCACAAAAGCTTTGCGCAAAAGACTTTTGCCCGAATGGGAGCAGCATAGTATTTCCGCAAGAAGCACTGATTTCAGTTAGTAGAAAGTTACTGTTCTTGCAGAAATTCAAGCGGCCAGTGTAGACAGCTGGCAAGTTTTTCCGCAAAAGCACCTGCTTTTGCAGAAAAACTTGCCAGTCTAGACACAGCCTTAATGTAACCAGGAAAGTGTTAACTATTCTGTTCACCTTCTTCAAATAGTTTTATGAACTGTTATAATTAGACCAAAAAAAAAAACAACCACCCCCAAATCCCAAGAATGTTACTTACCTTGCAAAGTCAAGTAATGGAAAGTTCGTTGCCTGTGCAACTTTAATTCTCTCTCCTTGGACACCCAACTTGTGCCCTGAATGAGGCAGAGGAAAAATGTGATCAGTTAAAAACTCTGTCACCATACATATGCACAAAGAAGGCAAATTAAGGTTGCATGGGCAATCCTAAAATTGGCATTTCCTGACTTTCAAGTGCTAGACTTTGCACCTAAATAATGTTCTTTCAATGGAGGTTTTTTTCTGTTAATGTACCGTAAATTACCATATATAACCCGTGGGTTATACACATTTTTACAACCTCCCTCCCCCCCACAGGGTCTACATGTCTGCGGGGTATACACGTTTATTTTTACTCTCAAGCTTGTGCTGTGCTCTCCATTCCCCTGCCTGGAGGAGGGTGGGTTGCGCCTGGCTGTGGCTGCACGGGGTTTGAGGGCAAGTGTGGCTCCCCTCCCGCAGGCTGGCCAGCATGCCTGCATTGTGCTCTCCATTCCCCCACCCAGAGGAGGGTGGGTTGTATCTGGCTGCGGCTGCGCAGAGCTTGGGGGCGAATGCAGCTCCCCTCCTGCAGGCCAGCCAGCATGCCTATGCTGTGCTCTCCGTTCCCCCCGCTGGCAGCTGGTATGTGCAATCACCGTGAATTAGCATATAGAACCCATGGGTTATAGTCGCCCGTGGGTTATCTAAGACTTTTTATACACAATCAGGAAAAGCCACGGGTTATACTTGAGTGCAGGTTATATACGCTAATTCACGGTAATCTTCTAGGCTGTGTCTAGACTGGCAAGCTTTTCCGCAAAATTTGCGGAAAAACTTGCCGGCTGTCTACACTGGCCGTTTGAATTTCCGCAAGAACACTGACGATCTCATGTAAGATCGTCAGTATTCTTGGGGAAATACTGAATCCTAAACTGATGGTGTCAAATTTGCAGATGAACTGTAGCTCAGCAGTTTCTCTTTGAAGTCTGGTCTTGAAGGTTTTTTTGCTGCAGGATGGCTACCTTTAAATCTGCTATTGTGTGTCCAGGGAGATTGAAATGTTCTCCTACAGGTTTTTGTATATTGCCATTCCTAGTATCTGATTTGTGTCCATTTATACTTTTGCGTGATGGATTTTTCACTTTCAGTCCATTTGGTATGATGTCCACCTGTTTGCATTTGGAGAGAAAGATTATATCTGTCTGTACTTGTGCAAGTTTCTTCATGAGGTTGATGGATTTCCACTCCATACAGCTAAATGCAGTGCCTTGCATGGTGTCAAGTATCAGAGGGGTAGCTGTGTTATCAGATCCAGTCTAACACGGCTACCCCTCTGATACTTGACCTATTATGGTCATTCTGATGTTCTTATATAGAGCTGAAATGTATCTGCCCCCTTGCTGTAACCCACTAGATCCCAATCCCTTCGCAGAGCTGAGGAAGAGCCCAGGAGGCCTGATGGGGTCTGTCTCTCTCCTCAGAGTTAGTAACAAAGTACGACTGTGTCTACACTGGCATGAATTTCCGGAACTGCTTAAAATGGAATACTATTCCGTTTTCAGTTTTTCTGGAAAAGGAGCATCTACATTAGCAGGCTGCTTTTCCAGAAAAGCCCTTTTTCTGGAAAAGCGTCTGTCACCATTTTTGCAATCGGGGCTTTTTTCTGGAAAATACCGGGCTCTCTACGCTGGCCCTTTTCCGGAACAGTGTTCCAGAATAGCGGCTGATATTGTACAGTAGAGCGTCAGTGCTTTTCCGGAAATCCAAGGGCCAGTGTGGACAGCTGGCAGCTTATTCCGGAAAAGCGACTGATTTTCCGGAATAAGTGGCCCAGTGTAGACACAGCCCCAGAGAGTCAAAGGTGTTGTCTGGGACCATAAAGTAGAAGAGTTTTAAAGCAATTTCATGGGTGGGCACAATGGCTTAGCCCAGCACATGGAAAGTTCCTGGTTCACAACCAGGCAGAAACACAGGGTCTTCTCCTCTTGCGGCTCCCCTTGGCACCCACAAGGCAGTTTGGGCATGCCTACCTTTAGCACCCACAAGGCAGTTTGGGCATGCCTACCTTTAGCACCCACAAGGCAGTTTGGGCATGCCTACCTTTAGCACCCACAAGGCAGTTTGGGCATGCCTACCTTTAGCACCCACAAGGCAGTTTGGGCATGCCTACCTTTTGAGAGAGGGATGCAAATGAAGACATTCAAAATAGTAAATGAAGCTGGGATTTAAATATCCTGTGCTTCATTTGCATATTCGCGTTATGGCGCTAGTTCAAAATAACAGTCACTGTTAAGGTGTGGTTAGTTCAAGAGAAATAACTGATAAACCTCATTGTATTAATGATGCACTAGTGGCAGGCACCATGGCTTAGTTGGCTAAAGCACCTGCCTCATAAACAGGAGATCCTGGGTTCAACTCCCAGTGGTGCCTTTCAGAGCCCTTACTCACATTTTTCTATGTGCTTCTGGGACACAGAAGAGGCCTCCCCTGGCCACCCATGAAACTGCTGGTTCAGGAAAAGGCTGATTGGGGAGGCACATTGGAAAGAAAGAAACCATAAGCCTGGAGC